CTCGAAATGATAACTCTACGTGGCTTCGTCTACTTTTTGACCGATATGCTGTTCGAACAAACCCACCTTACGAAACCGAATAAATTAAGTAAATTTGCAGATGATAAATGAAAAGCTAATTGCAAAATGTCTCAATGGGGTTAAGCGTTAGTCGAACCTTTTTCAATTTAGCCGTCAAGCGTAAAAACTGTCAAATTTCAACCGTTAGTCGTTAAAAAAATCAACCGTGAAATTTTTCTGGTGACCTCAACGGAAAGATAATAATCATTAGCCGTAAATTGGCTAAAAGTTTAGCTGTAAAAGCCATCACTCCATAGAAAACCTACCGAAACTACCATTGCGATTAATGTTTGAATTGTTCTAAAAAATTGCTTCTTTTCTAGGATGTGGTAAGAAATAGACCAGAAATTGATGGACGAAGCAAAGATCATGTCCTTTTCCTGTCCTCATGATCAAACATTCACCTATTACCTACATGACAGAGCCTCCTTTCAAGCTACAGTAGTCATCACCCTCGTTGCAATTCCTGCAACTATATCTTTAAACGTTTTACTGATCGTTGCAGTGATTAGAGAGAAATTACCGCAAAACCATACATTTATCTTACTCGGGAGCATGGCAATAGCAGATCTTATAATTAGCTCTTTATCAATGCCTATAACCGTTGCCATGGCAGTAGTGTTTCTTCATCACTTTTCCATTAAAACTATCTGCAAATTAGACTACATCAACTCAATAATATTGTACTTTGCTGGATCTTCAACTTTATATCATTTAGCTGTGATAGCTTGGGAGAGACATGTCGCCATAACCAGACCGTTAGAGTATAGAAATCTTATCACAAATACTCGAGTGAAAAGGTACGCTGTCTTTTCATGGCTTTTAGCGCCTCTAACGATAGGAACAACTTACATTCTGGAAGCCGCTGGTTTAGATTATCAATACATCGAGATCGTAAACACCGTGGTTGCCTTGCCATCTCTAGGATGTGTTATAGCTATCCCATATTTTTATGCAAAAGTTTTTCTGAGAGTACGCAAACGGAAAGATGATGAAATGGTTTCAGTAAATGCTATAATTCAAGAGAAGCTCGAAGCTAAAGTCGCCAAGACTACCGGTATTTTGACAGTTATTCTGTTAGTTTCATTCCTTCCAGGATTTGCGTCACTAACCGTTGGAGTGTTATTACCTCCCCTTCGAGCAACTCCATATGTGTTGTGGACTCAGCTTCTCGCCCATCTCAATTCACTGCTAAACCCTATTCTGTACTGCTACAGAATTCGCCCTTTTAGAGATGCAATACTTGAAATGTTGCAGTTTAAAAAGCCACTGCAAAGGCAGCCTGTGGCACTAGTCCAAAATAAAAACCAATTGGCGCGAAAGACCAAGCATGGCATTGGTCTTAATCTGCATCACGAGTCTAAGACGAGAACTCCAGGCCTTAAGGTCTGGCGGAGGCGAGCTCGATCGATCTCATTCGAGCCAACCGAGGCATTCAACACTGACGGTGTTAGATCCATGTCTGCCCCGCCCAGTTTCCAAGTGGCTTATCCTGTCAGAGATCCTGTTGAAAGAATTGACAATAAAGTAGAGATGTCGGTAAGTTGGAGTAGTTCCAGGGATGAGTATAAACCACCGACAAATTCCAAGACATTAAAGTTTCCTGGATCAAATTCGTGCCATGGCGAGGATCCATTTCCGCTGAGGTACTCAAAGACAGGAGTTGCCAGAAGCACACCATTAGTTCTATTGTTTTCAAAGAAAACAGTCTCACCTGCTGAGCCAACGGAAGGTACAAGGGAATTCAACACTCAAGTGTGAGACTATTTCTTCCTTTCATAGGTTGTTAGTTTGTGTAATTCTAAGAAGTGATGGTACTAAAGTAGACGAGCAAACGATTAACTTTTAACAAACTTTATCAACACATGCAAAAATAAAGGTGAAAAAATAGGAGAAACCATCACCTGACACATTCTTGGTATGTCGAAAGTTTCGTTCAGTTTCACTTCTTCATCGTTTACGGAGTAAGAATATTTAGATACAATAAAAAGGCATTACCATCTGGAAATTTCACGCAAAATTCACCGCAAACATAAAAATATTTCCTTTAAAACAAATTAAATTGGCCTGTAAAGTTACAAAATCCGCAGGCTACACTTTTCAAAGTGTAGCCTGCGGATGTCGGTTGTTTTTAAGAGCAATAGTCTGTAACTTTCGAAATTTTTAAAAAAATCGGGGCCACTTAACCTTACTGATTTGGCTGAAATTTGGCATGAAGGCTAATTTTAGAGTCCTAACCACGAAATGGGTATTAAAAAGTTCCAGTTGTTTTTGCTTGACAAAAAAAAAATCGATAAAGCCGACCAAGTCTGCCCATACTTGCCTGCCTTATGACTTCGACATCAGCCCTGTTTCCTAAAAACTCTTGATAAATGAAAAGATCTACCCTTGTTCTTAACATTTATTGGAAAAAATGTGGGAGATAACAGATTTTGATCACAGGTTATCTCAACGTTCGAAGGTCGTTTTGCGCCGCCTTGCACAGTAAAAAATTTATCCCAACTTGTTAGCATTATATCTCCACTGTTACCTCGATCCAGAAGTTGCCATTTATTTGGAACAATGTTTGTTTATGGACGAATTGATTCCATTAATAAAAAAATGGGGGAAATTTACAGGTCAAAGGAGAAAAGTTATTAATCTATGATGACTTAGCTATATTTGGGACTAGCTCCTAAATCAGCTTACCGGTGAGAAACGAAGTCCGATTTCCAGAAGTTTTCCTAATATTACGGAAGTATCTGTTGATTTTGGGCAAAAGCAAATATGTCTGTGCGACATTGTTGCAATGGGATAAACATTTGGTTACCCAATGAATGTAAACAGTCGATCCGGTCTTAACGTTTGGAAGGGTTGATTTCGCATACCGTTTTGAGAACGAAAATTTCGAAAAAGAAAAGATTCTTGTGAATTCCAACCTAGTTTATTTGGTGGTGATTGGTGACTTGCTCAAAATCTGAGCCTGTAAGCTACATTTGCAGTTGATCCTCCTTGTTACGCCAACGGTTTAGATATTCTTCGTTAGATATTACGTAAATTACATCATGTTTTTGAGTGGGTCATGATTTCGTTTTTCGTATGTTTCAATGTTCTTATCAGCAGAAAGGAAACCTAACCTTTCGGGATACTTCCTTCCTTTCCTTTTTTTCACCAGTGGTGAGCGCAAAATGCACACCTGAAGCGCCCTCGTTAAGGGCACAGACATGAATTGAGTGTTGTTTGAAATAAACGTCACCTTGTTGGAATGCGCGCGCAGTCGCTAATTGAGTTTGCTCTGAAATCTATTTTGCTTTGAGGGGGCTGTTCGTGAAGGATATTTTTAAAAACTTCTTTCGATGGCTTTAAACAAGCTCTACACCTAATCTATGTGAAAAACGAAACTATGAATTCGAATTGAATACTTGTTCATCACTGAACTGTCGGTTGTAGCGAAAACGGAGGTTAAGACCCAAGACCTAAGAAACCATATTTCACTTATTTTTCGATTAACAAATAGAGAAGCCTTGACTGTGCTCTGTTCTGTTATAAAGCACGCAGGAAGCGGCTAGAGCCGAGAAGGGTAGGGAGAAACACGAGACGTAGTCGAGTGTTTCTTCCCACTTCTTGAGTGCTCTAGCCGCTTCCTAAGTGCTTTTTAACAGAACAGAGCACAGTCAAGGCTTCTCTATTTGTTTTATAATAAAGAATCCGTTAAATTACCCAAGCATTACTTTCAATTTTTAAAACAAACTTTATTTCCAAAGCGAACAACAGTGTCGTCAGCATGCTCAATAAGCCAATCAGAATCCCTGTTAGAATGGTTCAAATAATCTGATTGGCTGTACAAGACTAAAGCTGTCAAAAGTGTCAAACCATCATAGTTAAAAAAACATCAAAGTTCACATTCTACAATAGTTTACAAACTAAAATAGTTCGGCAAGTCGAATTTAACACTTTTGTTTGAAGTTTTTAAGTCTGTAATACAGAATCTTGAAGTGAAATGTTCAGTGAACTTCAGCCGAATTATGGCTCATAAAAACACGTGAGTTTTTTCACATGACAAGGTAGAAAACAAACTGTTCAAGGCGAGTGTTTTTTGAATGAACGACAGCCGAATTCACCGGAACATGAAGATCGCTCGGGATGACAGCGCCGCAAAACTCGGCTGCAGTGACTGATGTGACTTTCTATTCAATGCATCGGTAAGGATATCAGAGCAAGCTCTTATTTTTTCACTCGAAGGGCGGCCGATGTA